CTCAATTTTACATGCTGCCAAATATACACATATATAATTTATTTATTCATCTATAATTCTTCATGACAAGCTAAATATCTGAAAATGAGAAAGAGTTTATTCTTGTCTAATGACCATCCAGCTGTGTAATATTGAGTGAGTAAATCAAATTCTCTGACTCTGTGCATTCTCAATTTCAAAATAAAGACTTTTCTATGTTTCCAGTATTCAAAAACTATGCTCAGAAAGCTGCTTACTGGTTTTAACTGTGGTTTTGGGGGTGCATTTATAAATACACAAATGTTCATATAACAAAATTGTTATGAGTACTGGATTTAGGTGGAGTGGTTTGGAGTGAGTGTCATGTCATTAACTAAGAAATGGTAAATGACGGTGATTGATGAATGGAAGGAAAGAGCATGATATGGTGGCAAGAATAACATGTATACAAGCATAAACAAGAAAAATATTAAATCAAGTTATATCAAGTATTTTCCAGAAATACAAATATAAAAAGGAAGAATTAATCATTGTGATCTTTCATTTTGTGGTCTTCATTGTTTGGGGACAGACAATAAAATTGTAACTCATATTATGCTGAGTCAAATCATTAAATTACCCCTACCTAAATTTATCTTCGTAGAAATTAATACATTTGTATATGCATGCTCATATATGTACACATTGAAATATATAAAAATTCAAAACACACTTGGGTAATAATAAAAATCATTAAGGTTGCCATAAACACAAACACATACACACAACTAAACAATCAAAAAAAACACTAGAGCCAGGCACAGTGGCACATGCTCAGTTCCAGTTGAAAGGAGAGGTTGAGCCCAGGAGCTCGAGTGGAGCCTGGACAACATAACAAAATCCCATTTACAAAAAAACAACAAACAAACAAACAAACAAAACCACTGAAACTACCTAATCAAAAATTTATAAATTTGAAAATAATCTCTATTAATACTTCGATAAAATTAAAAAATACTATGAAGACACAAGTGTTATACATTAAGGATGTAATAATTTGCATATAGGTGAAAATGCAATTTTTTAAAGAAGCTAATTCAAATAGCTAGTTCTTTGAAAAGATCAATAAAATGGAAAAGCTGCTGACAAAGAAAATTAGAAAAAGAAAGTAAGGGTGCATAACATAAAAAAGTAAAAAAGCCGCTGTGACTTTATATTTGGAATAGATTAAGAAGTTGTAAAAATATGCATAAAAACCTTTTAAAAATATATGTGTAATGGAAATTTATGAAAAAAATATAGTTAGTTAGATTGATTACTGAAAAGGCAGAACATTTGAACACCATGAGAGTCAATATTTTATAAAATGTTTAAAAATACATAGCACAAAAGGCTAGTATAGTTGGCTCACTAATGAATTTATTCATTCTTTTAAGAAAAAAAAATTTTTAAACTGCTCTAGCAAATATAAATATTTGGAAAGCATACAAGTTAATTTTGTGAAACTAACATAGGGAATATCAAAACCCAGTGATCATTAGGACTCACTCCTCTGCCCTATTTTCCTCTCCTAATTCACACAAAGATACTGACTGATAGTATATTGAAAACATCACAAGAAGTATAAATGAGTAGCTATATAATTTTGGAAGATGATGTCATTAAAAACGCCATTAAAGACAGAATCTATAAAGAATGTTTAGACTTTGCAATGAAAAGAAAAAGCATGTGTAAAATGTAATTAATTAAAAGGCAAATGAAAACTCACTAAAAACATTAGATCCAATATTTGTTTTAGATTGCATATTTTTTTTTAATGGGCAAACCTCTTCCACTGCTATTTGAAATCCAGCACAGTCACAATCACTGTCATCACTTCACCTTTACTAGAAATTCTCCCAGACATGGAGGCTGTCAGGGTGCACAGCAGTGGTTCAAAGATGCTTACTAGAATTGCCTGGTGACATTTGCAAAAATAAATGTTTGTGCCACACCCAGACAATTAAGTCAGAAACTGTGCAGGACCTTTTAATCTCTAATACTTATTTAAAATAAAACTATTCTTATGAATTTTTTTAAATATTTTAATGAGAAATAAAAAGTTCATCCTTTGACTACTAAATAAGTAGCCTCAGAAAGCTACAGTTTCATATGATATGACTCATATCACATCCCTAGTATGCTTTCCCACTTTTTGGCATGCAAATAACCCTAATCTGTTGTTGTTCTACCTTGTAATTAGTCATCTTAATTTCTTCCAAAATTCACTGAAAGTAACTAAAATGTGTATTTGTTTGCTGATACCTTCTGAGAAAGTGTTGAGGGAAGGGTGAAATGCAGAAGGATCAGGGTCGACATATTTCATGGCATTCTAAAAATATCCTAACATTCTTCACTCACCTATTTATTCAGAGTATGTTCAATAGCTGTCTTCAACTCTCTCCTTTCTATGTTCTTATTTCTCTTGTTTTCTAAACTTTCCTCCTCAAATTTTAACCAACACAAATTTGTGCCTGTTCTTTTCTACTGGTTCAGTTTGTTACATGAGTCACTGCCAGAGCTTCTTTCAGATTCCCCCATGACTCTATAAGTACCAGGAGATAAGAAGAAATCTTAAAATCACCTTAGGTTCTGGGTGTAGGAGGAGTGAAAACATGTATAATTATTTTATCCCCATCACAATTATAAAGGCATGCTTATTGAATGACTGACTCTTTCTAAAAGAGGATAAGAAGTTTATTTTAATGCAACATTTAAAGAAATAAATTAATAATGAAATCAATGTGGTAAAAATATTGTTTTAGCTTAAAAATGTTGAATTTTTATATTTTATTTTAAATAAATCAGAAACAATTTGTAAAAAAGTTCATAAATAATGCAAGATAAGTTTATAATAGTCCCGTGCATAACATTTCTATTTAGGTGACAATATAGATATTAATTACATACTTCATGAGCAACAGGTCTTTGAGTATAGGAAAACTGGTTGTGTTTTTACGGCAAAAACCTTTAAATTTTTTATTCTTCTGTACTTACATTTACTCCTTGTTATGCCTAGTACAGTGTGGACCACAGGTAAGCACTCAATAAAATGTCTGAGTAAATGAATAGTACTAATATAAGGATATACTGAGAACAGAGATAAAAGACTATCAAACAGTGACAGAAAAGATTGTTAGGAGGAAGATAGCAATTGATTAGTAGTTGCCAAAAGCCGTTCAATATTGTTCCCACATCAACAAAAGAGGACAAACACAAAGATCAATTTTTCTTTTACCATGTATTTCTAAAGCAAACTCCCACTTCACTTTCTAACCTAGTAAAAGCAGAAGGACACTTTTGCCCCACTCCTGGACAAGGTAAATTAGCATCATTACCTATTCACTTCCCCTCTTTGCCTCCACTGCCCAAGAGTGACATTATCATACACAAAACGAATGTGTGGAAAGACACATCAAGAAATACAATTGACTTCAATCTACATTAAAACACGTTTTACCACTTGGGTCTCATATAGCAATATATTGAACTTCCTCTGCCAACTTCCTCTTCTTTGGAAAGCACTATCTCTATAGCCACATTAAAAAAAAAAAAAAAAAAAAAAGCAATTCTATACACTCAAGAAGCTCAGTTAGCCTGCTGATTTTATAAGTATCACCCAACATGAGAAATAGTACTTGAACAATAATTTGCCGGGAGCAGGGGTAAGATTAAAAGAGAACAAAAAAGATAAAAAAAGCATCTGGGAGGTTGCTTACCTTTAAAATTCTACACTGATGTGCCTCATAATGGTGTTTCAGACAATCACAAACCACATATACAAAGGTGGTGCCATAAGATTGTCATGGAACTGAGAAATTCCTATTAACTAGTGACCCCCTAGACTTCCTAACACCTTAGTGCAATTCATTACTCAAGTGTTTGTGGTGACGCTGATGTAAACAAATCTGCTGCACTGCCAGTCTTGTAAAAGTATAGCAGAGACAATTAGGTCCAGTACAATTACTTGTTGATGATAATAAATTACTATGCTACTGATTTATGTATTTTCTACACTATACTTTTTATCATTATTTTAGTGTATTCCTTCTAGTTTTATATATATATTTTTTTTAAAAATTAACTCTAAATGGCCTTGGGGAAGTTCCTTAGGAGGCATTCCAGGAGAAGGCATTGTTATCATAGGAGATGACAGCTCCATGTATGTTACTGCCCTTGAAAACCTTTTGGTGGGACAAGGTGTGAGGGTGGAAGACAGTGATAATGATAATCCTGAATGTGGGTAGGCCTAGGCTAAGGTATATGTTTCTGTGTAGTTTTTAGGAAAAAGGTTTAAAAAAGTAAAAACACAACATCTTTAAAAATTAGAAATAGAAAAAAGCTCACAAAATAAGGATATAAACACAATATTGTGCAACTATATAATGTGCTTATATTTTAATATTATAAGAGTCAAAAAGTTAAAAAAATTTAAAAATTATAAACTTTTTAGGACAAAATTATAGTAATCTAAAATTTATTAATGAAAATATTTTCAAATAAATTTAGTGCAGCCTAAGTGTACCGTATTTATAAAGTCTACAGTAGCATAATGTCCTTCATATTCACTCACCACTCATTCACTGAGCAATTGACTCATCCAGAGCAATTTCCAATCATGTAAGCTCCATTCATGATAAGTGCCCTGTACAGGTGTTCCATTTTTCATCTTTTATATCCTATTTTACTATATCTTTTCTACATTTAGACACACACATACCATTGTGTTAAAATTGCCTCCAGTATTCAGAATAGTAACATGTTGTATGAACTTGTAGCCTAGGAGCAATAGGCTATACAACATAGCCTAGGTATGTAGTAGGCTATATCATTTAGGCTTAAGTATATTCTATGATGTTCACCCAATGCAATTGCCTAATGATGCGTTTCTCTGAACGAACATAATTATAATGGTTTCACTTATGATTTCTCCACTTTTCAATTGTATGAAAGTGAGCATTCAGGAGAAACTATATTTTGAATTTTTATTTTTTCCCAGGCTAGCAATAAGTGGTACAATACTCTCTCAAGATGCTTTGCAGTAACAGCGAGCCACAGCTCCTAATCAGCCAGATCATCAGAAGAGGAAACACTGAATACTTGGCATCTTCCTAAAGAATACTATGCCTGCTAAACCATAGGCAAGTGTCACATTCCTCAGCACCGTCTACTTGCTATTCTCAACCCTCATCAGAAGAGAGAGAAACTGGGTACTCATTCTCTGTTGCAACCCCATCATCCAGCAATTAACTTTAGTTCAAGTCTTCAAGCATTCGTCAGACCTACAGTGCTTTCTGCTATGTGTGTTAATGGTGAGTACTCATACTACCATCCTGGTTTTCACTTTCAATGCAGTATTTAATATATTCCAGAAGCTATTCAGCACATTATTATAAAATAGGGTTTGTGTTAGATGATTTTGCTTCACTGTAGGCTAAATGTGTTCTGAGCACATTTAAGGTAAGCTAGGCTAAGCCACGATATTGATAGTTTAAGTGTATTAAATGTAATTTCAGTTTATATTTTCAACTTACCAAGACAAAACCCCAATTTAAGTTGAGAAACATCTGTGTGTGTTTATTTTTTAAGTTATAAATTTGTCTCTTTTTTGCATTTCTGTCTGTGTGCATATGAATATGTGTTTATATGTATGTATAGTGTGTATAGTGTGTGTGTATTTGCAAACATTTATACACACATACCTACAAGAAAAACAAAGCAATAAAGTAGTGGAGAACACTAAAAAGGTAATTTTGACTGGAGAGAGAAAAACGTAGAATCTAGCACTGTAGTGTCTGTCATATTCTCATACTTTTTCTCCAGTTAGGACAGCAATTTACCCCACAAAGAGTTACGCCAAACAGTAACAATGTAACATAGTTACATATCCATAACCTAGTAAGTGAAATGGAGTTGAGCGTTACATGATGAATTATACTTTAACAAACTCTGCTTGAGAATGAGCGATAGAACATTCATTCACTTATTTGACAAACATTTTAACTCTCATACAAAATTCAGAGCAAAAGGCAAAATAAATGTTATGCAAAAAATCAATGCAAAAGTCTCTTCATACAAAAAGAAAGGGGTAATTAAAACTGTGCAAATCAGTGGCAGCCGAGAGAAAGAGAGCATGTCTACATTGACCTTCCAGGAGGAAGAAGAATTTGAGAGGTGGGAGCATGGGCCTGAAAGGGGAAAAATTAAAGGGAGGTGAGAAGAGATTTCCAGAGTGAGAAAACAACAAAATAAGTAGTAGCTGGAATGCAAAGCTGATGAGTAATTCAGGACTTGGTGCTGGAGATAAGTTAACAGCAGCATGAAGTTCAGAGAGGCTGATACATTGGAAGCAGGGACTCCAGTTAGATGATTCTCTCAATTATCATTAAATAATTTTCCCTGTGCAGAGCAAATCTGACCTGAAGATGCTCAGTTAGACAGCTACAACTTAAAATAAATCAAGTAAATTATATAGACAATAACTGAAATCTATATGGGAGTGTTATTAATTCATCCAACACGTATTAATTGACTGTTTTGTGCCAAGAACTGTGCTCACTTCAATTATGGAGTAGAGAAATGCAAAAGGTCACCCACCAACAGGGTGTAGCATCAGAGTAAATACAGGGAAGTATCAGAATAAACATCTCACGGTTCTTAGAAATGAATCAATTGTGGTTGGGTGTGGTGCCTCATGTCTGTAATCTTAGCACTTTTGGAGGCTGATGTGAGAAGGCCATTTGAATCCAGGAGTTCAAGACCAGTCTGGGCAACATAGTAATACTCTGTCTCTACAAAAAATTAAAAAATTAGCTGGGCATGGTGGCATGCACCTGTAGTCCCAGGTATTTGGGAGGCTAAAATGGGAGAATCACTTGAGCCCAGGAGTTGGAAGCTGCAGTTAGCTGTGATGGCATCACTGCACTCCAGCCTGGGTGACAGGGCAGGGCCCTGTCTCTATAAAGGAAAAAATTCCAGCCTAATAGCATATGTCTTGTGTACCAAATGACTAAAATAAAGTATTCTGGAATAAGGAAGACAGGGAATAAATAGAGGGGAGGGTTGACAACATCCAATTGCTTCTGATCCTTTTCCAGCCTAATGCCAGAAAGAGAAATTTTAAAGTAAATTCTCTGGAATGTCTTTAATGATTCAATTAAAGTATGCTCTTATATTTCTGACATCACATGACATTATATTTCCTAACATTTCTTCATAAATACAAATTAGCACTTGCCATTACAGGCTTTCAATAATATACATCCAACTCAAAAACTCTGCCTTTTTTCTCAAAACCCAGCCTCACATGATGACGTAACATACAGCTCCTATGAAGAAAATATTTTAAGAAGATAAGTATTTTGTCCAAACTATTTATTTTTATTTATTTTTATTTTTTGAAACAGAGTCTCACTCTGTTGCCCAGGCTGGAGTTAAGTAATATGATCTCGGCTCACTGCAGCCTCCACCTCCCAGGTTCAAGCAATTCTCCTGCCTCAGCCTCCTGAGTAGCTGGGATTACAGGCATGCACCACCACACCCAGCTAATTTTTGTATTTTTAGTAGAGACAGGGTTTTGCTATGTTGGCCAGGTTGGTCTCAAACTCCTCACTTCAAGTGATCTCCCCGGCCTCAGCCTCCCAAAGTGCTGGGATTACAGGCGTGAGCGACCATGCCAGGCCCAAACTTTATTTTTAAATTATACAGCATGTTTGAAACAGGAGCTACCTTAAGAGAAATACAGATATTTAAGAATTTTAATATTTCAAGTAAAGGGCAATAGTGATAAATAGGTTTAGGAATGTACAAGGTAGCAGAAGCTACTGCCATTTCTTTGTCTTCTCCCTTATCTTCTCTTTTATTGTATTACTTTAGCCATCCTTTTGTCTCTAATGTTTCATTTTACTTGTTTTGCTTTTTTGTCTAATTGTCGTTTGCAATAGGACACGAGCCTAGCCAAATGATATCTGGGAATTCTGAATGTTTATGTGCGTTTGCATGCACACAACACACACAAACCCGGGCTCTCACTCCTCCAAACTACCTAGATTTTGCAACTGTTCTTCTCACCGGTCCTATAAGACATGTGCCAATGATGTCAGGAATCCTTGGTTTTCTCATTGCTTTCCTTTTTTATCTGCCTGCCTTCACTGAGACCATAGACTCCCCACCAGTTCCATTCCTCATGATCATGGCAGATTCCTTTCAGGAAGAATTTATAGCCTCTTAGTCCAAGTCAAACACTTTCCCTAACCAGTTGTATCACTTACTAGCTGGAGAAATCACTGAGGCTGACATTCTAAGTCTCTGTTTTCTCTACCTAAAAACCGGGCATAATAATAGTATCTATTTCTTAGATTTGTTACAAAAAATAATTAGGATATTGTACAAAGTGCACTTACATAGAAGTGCATTTACATATGTGTTAGTGACTGGTGCATAATTATTTTGCTATTTTTATCACTATCATTATACATTTATCATCACTTCCTTCAACATTATTGAAAAATTGATAAAATCATAACTTCATGAGCAAGTCTGACTCTTATTAGATTTTTTTTGTTGTTGTTTTTTATCACTCTGTTTAGGGACTTTAAAATTGTTTTTGTCATTTACATAAGATTTGTTTTATAAATCCCTGGCTCCCAAAGTGTGTACTAAGTCACCTGGGAAGCTGCAGAAAGCTAACAGAGGTATTCCTACATATTTTAACTTTTCCAAGACATGCTTAGACTCTACCAAAAAAGGATCATAGTATATTTCTTTCAATGACATTATGTATTTTCAAAGCTTGGATTTTACTTGTTGCTGTCTTCAAAAGTAAGCACACTGAGAAAATTAATGTAGAATAAGAAAGGGGGATGAAGGTCTTTGATCTGAATTCAAGTTCTGAGAAGTGGTGCATTGCCCATAAGAAACTGCACACATCCCATAAGTAAATAATTTTGGTTAAGAAATAGAAATATTTTCTTCTTTCAATTTATAAACATTAATTTTCAAACTGCTGATAAGTTTAAGACATAAATATGTATTAACACACTCCAAGCTAATACTCAAACGGGACCGTTAGGTGTTTTGCTTTATTTGTTTTATTGATCTAGGAATTACAGGAAGATATTACTTTGGGTGTCATAAACCAAGAAAATTTGGGCTCCCTGCTGGAAGTGTTTCACAATTCTAACTGCTTATTAGCATCATGCAGAATTAAATACAAATTTAACCTCACCAGGGAATGCTCCTATACCTGAGGACTCAGAAATACCACCAAAAATTATCTACGTGATAGATGACAAAACTAGAGAAAAGAAAGCCTTCTTCCAGAAGTTAGTTCCTATTCCAAAGTCAAGTCCTTCAAGATTATATTTTCACGAGATCATAAAAGTAACTTCTCATCATTTCTTTCTTCTTGTTTTCCCACTTGTATTTCGATCACATTTTGTCAATATTGAAAGTCAACATTCAAATAATTTTATCTTTAATGGAAAGGTAGGTCTTTTAGAACAGAAATTACCCAAAGCTTCACAATGTCTCTCCAAAGGAAAGTGTTAAAATGCTGATGCTAAGTCCTCTTTTCTCGGAGATTCTGATGCAGATAGCATAAGAAAAACACTTTAGAAAGTCTGGAGTTGAAAATATATGAAGCAATAACCATGAAACTCCCTAAGAACTTAGAAATAAAAAGTACTTCTGAAAATTAAACCACAAAATCAGTTAAGAATGTAAGAGGCCAAAGAAAAGATATGAAAATTCATTTTAAATTAAGAAATATTAAGATACTACAGTCAGACATATTTATATGTTTATATATTTATATACTTATATTTATATACTTATACACTTAAAGATAACATCCAAAGGACGTAGTAGCTTTTCAGTAGAAGGCATATAAATAATATTTGAAAGGTAGGCATTGCAGTGGTGTGACAGGATCAGCTGATGGCGACTATTGAGAACTGGATTGTGTGTATCCCAGCTGCATCTTTAGTGATATTGGTGGCCTCAAGTTAGTCATAACGGTAATATTTATACCACAAAAAATGACAAACCTACAAATTAGGATGGTTTTCCTTAAAGAACCAACTGTTAATCATTTATCAACAGGTCATTGAATACTGGAAAAACTCACCCAAACATGATTCAGAAAAGAAATTTCCCCAACAGGCATAATAAACATATTACATCTGCCTAGCACATCTATCTGTGTTGTTGAGACAAATGTAAATTTATACATAAAAATCTGATATTATTCAATGTTCATATCCCATAAACAATTCCCCCTGCTCTGTTTTCAAATTCTGATATTTCAGCTTCA